CATCTGACCGAAGCCCGATCTTCCAAATGGTAGTCATGTCCCCCATTTGACTTCTGGAAAACTTCAAAACAGGATTTCTTATGGCCTCTTTTCAATAATGGATTTCTTCTTGCCATTCGTCTATAAAAAGCCAAATTTGACAACCGATATTTGTCCCATGTACAGATTCATCAAGATCAGCGGAAGTACTTTGCAGCTCTTCCAGAGTTATCTTGGGGCACTCGATTGCCTTTCTGACCAGTGCTTTCCATGTTCGATCCGTTAAATTCAATTTCAATTAAATTAAATTCAATTCAGGGCTTGCATAGCCCTAAATCACAGCAGTCATCTCAGAGGACTTAACTAAACCGTTAACACAGATCAGAGAATCAACAGTGGTGCCATACTCTTTACATTTCCAAATGATTGATTGAACGGTACTCTGTGCAATGTTAAAATCTTGGTTGAACACAGTGCTGCTTTAAAGCTAAATTAAAATTAAAATCGATTATTCAAAAAAGCTAACAATAGTAATAACCAACAACAGCCACACACAGGTCACAGCAGCAGAGATGGAGCAGCCACTGAGTGGAGTAGCCGCTTGGTTCAGACAATATTCTCTGCTCTAGTCCAAAGTACAAAGCTAAATGCTTTATTAGCATTTTTCATAAAGTTAGCATTCCTCCAGTGGATTTTCACCTGATCTGCTTGGTTCAGACCATGAATCTCTCTCCCTAAAACCTTCAAACAAGGTCAGAAATCTAGGGGTAATACTGGACTCAGACTTAAATTTTAATAGACATATTAAATCAGTAACATTAGCAGCTTTCTACCACCTAAAAAACATTGCCAGGATCAAAAACATAGTGTCTAAAGCAGACTTGGAGATTCTTATCCATGCATTTGTCTCCAGTAGGTTAGACTACTGCAATGGCCTGCTCACAGGTCTGTCCAAACAGGCTGTAAAACAGCTGCAGTACATTCAAAATGCAGCAGCTCGAGTCCTGACTAGAACCAGGAAGTACGACCACATTAGTCCAGTTCTCAGGTCTCTGCACTGGCTTCCTGTGGCTCAGAGAATAGACTTTAAAACAGCTCTGCTTGTGTACAAGTCTCTCCATGGCCTCGCACCAATATATATTAGTGACATGTTAGTACCATACGAACCAGCCCGGACTCTGAGGAGCACAGGGACTGGACTCCTGTTAGTGCCCAGAGTCAGGACTAAACATGGGGAGGCTGCTTTTCAGATTCATGCTGCTAAAATCTGGAACAGTCTTCCTGAAGATGTGAGACAGGCCTCCTCAATGACAATGTTTAACACCAGGTTAAAGACAGTTCAGTTCTTAGCTGTGCATACAACTGAGGGATTTTATATTTTTGTCTTTCTTTTTAATGTTCTGTGATTATTTATGATTTCTTATTTTGTTCTGCACTTAAACTTGCCTTGCCTTGAATCCTCTTAGCTCCTGTCTGGACCAGTGCAAAACAATGAACACTGTAAAGCAATAAAAATAAAATTTGTAAAGCACAAAACAACAACTGTTCCAGAGCTACTTAGGACTTGATGCCATTTTCCAGCGCATTCAAAAGTAAACAACAAAAAGTAAACAACGATCATCACTACCGTCTTTCTTGTTAGACACTAATTGTCCAACAGACCCTCCTGCATCAGCAAGGAAAAGAGAGAGGAAAATAGATGGATGTATCATTTTACTTTGACTTCACAGCCTGCTACTTGAGTGAGAACTTTTAGTGAAGAAAGGGGTACTTTAGGTTTATTAGTACCTGCGAGAGGGTCTGTATGCTTTATATATTGGATATTTTTTGTGTCACAATCAATAAAAGTCAAAATATCTAAGGGAAACGGCCAAACGTTAAATTTGTTGTAGAGCCAAGAATATTATCCTTCAATCCATAATCACAATCATATACTTAAATAACAAAGTATTGCTTTTCTTAGTAGTGAGTAAAATTATAAAAACACATGCTGTAGATTAAACTGGATGCAGAGGTCTTCCAATTAAATAAATATCTCCATACACGCTTCCAAAAGGAATCTATTCCTATTCCCTACCATTGTTAACATTGAGATTGTTGAACACCACTGACTTATCACTGCAGATATATAAGTAGAGAACCCCCATTGAGATGCATCATGCTGCATTTTTTGAGGATGCAACATGTCACAGTCGCCATATGACATGTGAATTTTATGGAAGTCTACATATACTTTTGTAAATACAAAATCTTACCCAAGTGTTTAATGGCATGTGATTGGCAAGCTATGTTGGGACAGTTGGCAAATGGGCGGTCAGCGGGGGAGTTTAGAGCTGCTAAAGTTCACACAGGAGCAACGCGGTACCCTGTGTCCTGCCAACTGCTTTACAGTGGCGCAAATCCTGACTAAGTTGTTGACCCATGGCCCCCACCTGCGCTGACCATGCATTATATGGAGGGTTATCACTTCCCTGCTAAGATGCTATGATGCTTGCCATGCCAGAAGGCTTTTGACTCATTCCCATCTGCCCGGTAGTATACATTAAGCAATCTTCATCATCATCCCCTGTTCATTTCTGTGTCTTTATTTAGATTTGTTTAGATCATGTATGGTTTTGAAGGCTGGCAATGTGGAAATTAGAAAATAAGATGTCTAATAAGTTAACAGGTAAAGATGGATCTCACTGTATTGGACTGTATTGCGTGATGCAGGGATTCTCAATATGCAACTTGCCAGGCCTTGACCCTTATATGTCCACATTTTCAAGTTAGGAAAATGAGCTGAGGCAGGACAGCAGCATATGTCTGTACCTCTCCCCAGTCCTGTGCCACCAACTTTCATATTGTTCTTTAACTTCCAGCATCTATTGTTTATTAATATTCAGAAATGTGATGGTTTAATGTCTGTTTCAGTCCTGTCAGTAAACCCATGTCACCCTCCTCTCCCCCTCCAACAAGTGCACTCCTAACCTCAAGTTTATGCTTCTCTGCTCTCCCACTGTAGGTTGTTTTAATGAAAGTGACAGAAAACAATGTTCTCAGTTTAAGATTTAAACTTTAAGATCTAATGCACACATGTTTCCTTGACTTTACAAATAGCTGCTAGGTTTAATTGTGGACTTTACCAGTATTATTGGACCAATCATTGTGAATAAAAAACTGAACAGGAGGCCGTGCTGTAATTAAGTAATTCAAAGGAAATGTAGAATCGACTTTGTTGAACAACCTGGAGTTGTTTTTTAGATCCTTCCACGCTAACATCAGGAACTTCTGGCACAAAGATGCAACTAAGCCCCTTCTGACTAAACACATGTTCTAAAACGTTCACAGATAACACTAGACACACAAGGACTGTCTTTCCATGTTGTCTAAAAAGGGGGAATATTGTGTGTGGTGTGCAGGTAATTTCCTGAATGGTCCAGATGAAAAATGCATCCAGTTTAAATGATAAGTCACCTTTTTCCTTTTATCCCGTTCACAGACACGTTGCTTGTTAAAGATGATGGTACATAATTGTTTCCATAAGAATTAAAGGAATTAAAAGCTGTAATCTCTCTTTTTTGGGGCAGGGATCGATATCATTGCTTTTAAAGCTGAGGTTGAGAGTATTTATGAATTATTTATTTATACTCCAAGTTTTAGTAGTTATTGGACTGACAGGTGAACAATTATGGAAGCTAATTATTAAGCTAAAAGAAACCTCATAAAGTTATAACAGTAATCTAATTGCTACAATATACAACATGAAAACTTGCATATTCAGATTTTTAAAATGAAATGTACGTGGTTTGGCTTATATAAGCCATATAGCCCAGAGAAATGGTGTAGTTATTGCAGTCAAGCCCATCAGCTTAAAACCCTACAAATACAAAACTGCAAAATGTACAATGGTTGAAGCAATTGTGAGTGACTGCATACCACAAACAAAAAGATCTTTTTTTTTTTTTTAAATAAAAAACATAAAATTATTACACTTTAATACCCTTATTACACTATTACACAATTACACACTTATTACACTATTACACCCCAGAAGTATTCCAGAAGTATTTGGGGAATTCTCGCTGTACTGCAGACTAAACAAGACTGAATTCACGTGGTCTACCAAGAAATGTTCCCCATAGAACTCAATGTAAATTAAAACACCTCAGCTGACAGAGAACCTAAAGGTTATATAAAGGTCATATTTTGTGGAGATTTTAGTGTCCATTGTCATCCTGAACTTTTTTTCTTCTCAAATCCTTCGGTTTTCTATAAATCCACACTTTAATGCCACAAACTCTGATTATCCCCCGCTCTAACTCCACACTAGTGGCGATTGGTCAAAGCGCGGCCGAGCCTATCCGTGCACGTACATGAGAGCCACAAACACGTATTTGGCGCAAAGCATCATTCACTGTGTTGAGCCGGGAGGACCAGAGAAATGACCAAATATGGGCGAGTTCCTCTAATTGCAGTTCTCTCCCTGGGTCACGCTGTTGGTGTCGGCGTTTGTCTCAGCACTGACCTCTCCCTGCTGGTTCGCGCTGGATCTCCTCCCAGGGTCCAAAATATTTAGAGATAAATCTTATAATATTTTAAGTTTCTTCTTATATCGTTTCGAGAATCTCAAAATGTTGCTACTTCGACTTTATTCTCATAATATTTCAACTTTAAAGTGAAAAGATTATTACTTTAATTCCCTTATGCTCCGTCATAATATTAGGGTGGTCATGGTATGAATAATTTAGATTTTTTTTATTATTTATTTATCCATTATTCATTACCATTATTTTTTTAGTTATAGAGAATGAGATGGATTACTAACACATTTTTTTACAGATTTTTTGAAAAAAAAATCAATCCATTCAAATGTTGCAACTATTCATTCATGGCAACAGTATGAATACAAATATTAATTCATTATTATTTGTATTATTTTAATGTCATTGCAAAATTTGAGTCAGGACAGATTGAGATTAACATTTTATCTTAATTGAAGAATTATAGAGTCCTCATGAATATATCATGTATGTCCTCACCTGCTTTGGTTGAAGGTCCAAATAATGCGGCACCTCTTTGAGCATAACAGGAGTGTGATGAAGAACTCTCTCTATAGGTCCGGAGTCTGGAGCTGCACTGGCTGTAGGTTCACACAAGATCCGTGTGGACACCATGGTCTTCAACAATGTGCAGGGGCGCAGTAATTTGGAGCATCGGAGGATCATTTTGTCTACTAAAAGAACAAAGCAAATTTAAAAGTAGTCTTTTCTGAAAGCTGTCAGCAGCAAGGGTTCACCAATTTAATCAGAATAATACCCAATACTGAAAGAGAAAAACCATTTTATATATATGCAACACTGAAATATCCCGACTCCCATGTACATGAGAATTCACACAGAAAAATAGATTAGGTTAAATTTAACAAGATCACTTACTGTGATACCTTACAATATCAACAAGCCCAGTTGAATAGGTTAGAAGTTTAGATCATAGACTGTGATACCTTACAATATCAACAAGCCCAGTTGAATAGGTTAGAAGTTTATATCATAGACTGTGATACCTTACAATATCAACAAGCCCAGTTGAATAAGTGAGAAGTTACCATTGTAAATCATCATGATCTCAATTATGAGCCAACTAACCACGAGACATTTGAGCATCAATAACGCTAACAAACGATAAAGTCTGTTGAGTTAGAGTTAGCTATCACAACATTAACGTAATAAGAAAATCAATAGTTTATTATGAATATCGTTTATATATAATATGTAATGCCTAAGTCACGTTTGACAGATTAAAGTGAACACGTGCTTGATGATTCACCCTGTTCACTATCCCAGTGGTAGCCTAGTCAATGTTTACAATACACCGGTGAATTTTGACTGCTGCTTTTCCTCCGGTCACGTGTGAACCGAGGCCTGTATACATGACACCGGACAACAGCACAACAGGAGAGGGGCAGCAGGGACACAAAATCGCTTACCTATAGAAGTCTAGGCTGTATATTAAAGCTATACTGTCAGTAGTGTAGTGGGTGCTCTTTCCGGAGACGGCATGAGTTCACGCAAGCCAACCCCTTGAGCGTCAGATTGCATCACATCCTCTCGTCCAATCAGAAGCGGCTTTACTTGGCGTCTGCAGGATGTACCCAATGAGCTTCAGCGCACGTCCGATGTGCGCTGACGGAGGAAGTGTGCTGTTTTTGAAAATATTGGCGCTAGTGGCTTTAATGGTTCACATTTGAGCGTGAATAAGATGACGTTGTGATTGTTTTACTGGCTTTGAAGAAATATACAAGTTCATTAGCGCGAGGTAAGTGATCGTGAACAGAGCAGTGAGGGATAGTGCAGTGACTTGTAACTGTTTCCGTTAACTGTCGCATCATATCATACCTTCAGAAGTTAGCTTACCATGCTAGCTAATGCTGCAAGGAGGAGGCTTCTCTGTTCAATACATGTCTCTCTCAGTTATCTTTCATTGATGTTCATTCAACAGCAATGGAAGCACGTAATTAATTAGCTGTAATGTATTCAATATTTGTAAAGTAAAACATAATTTGTCCCAAACGGCAGATTAATTTTTCACTTGATTGCTTTGGAATGTATGTAAAGACATTGTAATTTCAACGCAAAATGTGTTATGTCAAGGAGAATAACTTGGATGTGAGGATGTCTTGATAAGATAACATTTATTCATCCCGCAGCACTTGGGAATAGTAAGCAAAAATAAGCTGCATCGTTTAAGAATGTATAAGAAATGCTAACCCGAGCTTCCCGTTGTATGACTCCCAATAACTAATAACTAGCGTTAGCTAATACAAAACATCTTGGTTGTTTTGTGCTCATAATAAGAAAATCAGCCTTGCATATATCTTCACCCGCCTGGCTTGAATTTCCTTTGGCCTACTTATTGAAAGTAAATATTGTGTCTTTATCTAGCGTTAATCTTCCTTAGTAAGGATCCCAGAAATACAATATTCCTCCTGACCCTTTGTTTATGGTGAGGTGACGCTTTAAGAAAGTTTCACAATGCTTCATTAGAAATGTTCTGAGCATAATTGTCTTAAGTCAATCTTTGTTTGCCGATCATGAAAAGAAATCAGTTTAGATATGATTGGCACATGCTTTTTGGTTTGGAACAACTCTGCTTTTCACATCATTGTAACTGGATTTTTAATATGATGCCAAAATATAACATGGCATGCTGTAATTATTTTTTTGAATTCCAGATCACCCAACCTAAGTGGCACAATGGCCAGTGATGTTTGTAGCCACGTGAAGGTGGTTGTGCGAGTGAGGCCGGAAAATGAGAACGAGAAGAATGAGAACCTCCACAATGTTGTCCAAGTTGTGGATAATCACATGCTCATATTTGATCCCAAGAAACGGGACATATTGTGTTTTGGGTCTCAAAGATTACGAAACAGAAACGTCAACAAGAGGCCAAACAAAGACCTCAAGTTTGTTTTTGACCATGTCTTTGGAGAAAATTCAACTCAAGCAGACATTTTTGAAAACACAACAAAGGCCATTATTGATGGAGTCATGAATGGATTTAACTGCACAGGTAACTATTGGTGGGGTAAATGTATAAATGTATCATTTAGTGTTTTCAAGTGTTTTCAATGAATATATTAGACAATATGTGTGGTATAAATGCTGTTTACAGTTTCAATTAATGTTAAACAGTCAGGCATGTTTGTGCCTGGTACAAACTCTGTTTTTAAAAACTGATTAAACATTAAAAGAGATTAAAATTTCCAATAAGGCATTAAAATATATTCCCTAATTAATCAAAGTTAATGATAAATAGGATACTCAATTTTCTGTAATAATCGATAGCTGCAGCCACACCATACTTGGATATAGTGCTAAAATCAGATAATGATAATCTACAATTTTCTGAATTACTGTGCTCTCTTAATTTGTTTTTATGTGTTGTCCTTTTGATTAAATTCTTATATTTACTTTGCAGTGTTTGCTTATGGGGCAACTGGAGCTGGGAAGACTCATACCATGTTAGGATCACAGAATAACCCTGGGGTTATGTATCGCACAATGAAAGAATTATTCAAACGGATGGATGAGGCCAAGGAGGAAAAAGAGTTTGCTGTTGCTTTTTCATATCTTGAGGTAATTTTATTTCTGAGAAAAGTAAAATGTTTGCATATCTGAAATGCCTTTTCACTTGTTTAACTCTGATTTAGGTTTATAATGAGCAAATCAGAGATTTGCTGTCAAACACAGGTCCTCTGGCCGTGCGAGAAGATGGACAGAAAGGAGTGGTAGTGAAAAACCTCACTTTACATCAGGTTGGTAAAATGGTCACTTGTAGAGACAACTTGTGTTCCTATGTAAAATTACACGTATTACTTTCCACTTTCTAGAAGTTTAAATGTACTATTGTAATCATAAAACTTTGGTTATAAAAAATAATTACTCTGTAATGACACACAATGTGTTTTGCAGAAGAACTTTTTTCTGCATTAAACATCTGTAATCTCTTGTTCATTTATTCCACTAGTTAACTTTGTGAGCGGTGTGAACGACTGTTGAAACTACTGGTGTTTAACTGCTGCTCTCACACATGCCTCTGTATGACACTCGTCGTCACTGTGCTCTTGATTTCTGTTGTAGCCTAAATCTGCAGAGCACATTCTTGAGGCGTTGGATTCGGGCAACCGAAAGAGGACACAGCACCCCACAGACATGAATGCAACCTCCTCCCGCTCCCACGCTGTGTTTCAGGTACCCCTTTTAAAATAAACAAAGCAAAAACAATATGCATTATTTCAAGATATCATCTGACTCTTCTGAATAGCTAAGATGTTGCAAGTTTTCTTTTGTACCAGTTCCAACAAGCCTGAACTGTTGTTCAGTTTTATTCATGCATACAATCAGATGTTTCTCAACAAGTCATTACTTTTTCAATTTTTAGATTTATTTGAGGCAACAGGACAAAACTGCCACCCTCAATCCAAATGCGTGCATCGCCAAAATGAGCCTGATTGACTTGGCAGGGTCAGAGAGAGCCAGCCACACAAATGCCAAAGGGGCACGTTTACGGGAAGGTGCAAACATAAACCGCTCTCTTCTCGCCCTTGGAAATGTTATCAATGCACTAGCTGACCCTAAGGTAGGTTCTGCTTCATACATTTATTTCCGATTATATAACCTTTGTTTGCAACATGTCTGTTGGTATTTAAGTGTATATTAGATATGTCTTTTAAAACATGATTTCTCTTTGAAATAACATTTTAATGTTAAAAATCATTGTCATCTTCAGTCCAGTGTAGCAGCAGAGGGATAAAGCTCTGTGTGAAAACAAGTGCTGTGATTAGAAAATTATTTGATTAACTTGATTAATCGTTATTATGATATGTCCAATATCATTATGATGATATGTCTAATATCATAATAATTAATATTAGACATCAAAACTCTGTTTGTTTTGATGTGTAATAGCAATCTGGAACAGATGCCAGAGCCAACTCAACTGGTTCCTCTCTATGTGGAGAAGCAGTGGCTCTACTCCGAGCTCCTCACCCTATCTTTATGGGGGCGCCCAGCCACTCTGCGTAGGAAGTTAATTTCGATCACTTGTATCCGCGGTCTCATCCTTTTGAACATTACCCAAAGCTCATGACCATAAGTGAGGGAGGTAACAAAGATTGACTGGTAAATCAAGAGCTTTGCCTTACTGCTCAGCTCCCTCTTAACCAGAACGGTCCCATACAGCAACCGCATCACTCCGCGCGCTGCACCAATCTGCCTGTCAATCTCACGCTCAATCTTTCCCTAGTTCCCAAGATACATGAACTCCTCCACTTGAGGAAGGATTGTTTATTGTGATAAACAAATCTTTATGCTATATTATTTATTGGTTTCTTCCTTAATACTGCTCGTATGTAAACGCCTCTGAATCTTCATATAATACAGTGCAATAATTTGTTTGTTCATATAGATATACCCAAATCTAAAATTTGTTTTCATGAATCATATACTTCTTGGTGAAATGTCCCTGATGAACCCCATGAGACATTAACCAGTGAAGACTTGAATTTGGGTTTTTTTTTCATTCCTGTTGCATACATTAACCCGTCCTCTCATTTTACTCTCTAAAGCTAAGGCAGGCTGTATACGTAGAGGAAGTGCTGTTTAAACGTCCCGATGCCACGTTGAAAGATGATCCTCCTCCAACAGGTCGCTCCATTCTTAGGTTCAAAGAACGCTCTTTCATAGACACTGATCACTTAGTCCCAGACACTTGCCCTACTTGTGTGCTGAACTTGTATTCTAGGGGTTTTGATCTTTATGGACTACTATAAGACCCACGTCTCAGTACTGATCTCTCCACACCCTCCAGTTAATAGAGCTGTACTGTTTAATGTCTGGACAGGAACATTTATGGCATGGCCATTGTTTAAAGAAAGGAACGTTCTTTCCCGGGATGACATACCATTGATATTGTGGAGCTAGAAGAATGTTGGCTACTGCTGTTTAGCCAGTTCACTATGTCATTATTGCGCTATGCTGCACACATGTTTGAATCACAATATTGATAATCAGTCTTTTCACTCCATTACAGCCACCAATGTCTGTATAAAGGGGTTATATCTTTCTTATTGTTATTTATGTATGCACTCTTTATAAAATTTTTGCAACTAGCACTGGATCATGTAATGAACAGAATCTATACACACGTATTTGTAAACATGTTTCAAAAATAAAAAAGGCTGCTGCCCATTTGTTTATATTTTACTAGTAAGCATAGATTGTGATAAATAAACCTTAATCCAAATACAATGGGATTGTTTCTCATTAAATGTTAAAGTTTTGCCTGTAGTTCTCAGGGCCCAACACGACCTATAACTGAAACCTCTAGATCCAGATGTGCTCTGAAACACTTGAGCAGCTGTAAAGCCCCAACAGATCATTTTACTTTGACTTTGATTTTGTGCTGTCCCAACACCCCTGAGATTGTGACTCACAAATGCTTGCAGTTTATCTAATGCTATTTCACAGACACCAGCTGTAGACTGCTGACTCGTCCATGCATTCAGAAAGTTTTCAAGCTCCTTTGCTTTTCTACATTTTGATGTGTTCAAAAATATATTCAATTATAAATTATTCTCATCGACCTATTTGCAGTACAAAGGCTACTGAATTGTAAATAATAATTCATGAAAAAATATTACAGTAGTAATTACTGCTACTTTCATATCCAGTCACATGGAGCAGGTTTTCATTCAGGATGTCTACATCAACAACAACAACTTATTCTTGTATAGCCTTAAATCATAACAGAAGTCATCTCAGAGGACTTAACCATTGAAATCACCAACACAGATCAGAGAATCAACAGTTAAGACACAAACTATAGACGTATGAATTGGTCCATAGGGAGAGACCAATGCATTGCTGCATCTCATCCTGACTTGTCTCTGTGTGCCTGCCGCTGTAACACATCCCCCAGCATGATGCTACCACCGCAATTCTTCACTGTAGGGATGGAATTTGGTCAATGATGAGTATCTTTTGGCAAACTTCAAGCGGCTGACATGAGAAAAACTCGATGTTATTATGTGTAATGTCCAGCACTATGAAAAGCTCAGTTGTAAACTTTTAGTTCATTGTTGCAACAAAAAGGCCGTTGCCTGGTCACTAAGACTTTAGGACACTTACTTTGTACCAGCTTGAGTTTATGCCGTGTTTGCTAAAGTTAAAAAGAAACAGTGAGTATTTCTTATTGTAAAACTATTTGGTGTGTTATAGATGGTTACACTATTTCTAAAAAGAAACAGTGTGACTTTCTTTTTAGTTGATATCTATTTTGTGCTTCAGGGATGCATCTTTTGTCTCTTTCACATTAGTTGGGTTTGACACATTTTTCAACTAAATTGAATACATAACAACAACGGTCTATTGTTTGTTTTTCAGAGCAAGAAAGCACACATCCCATATAGAGACAGTAAGCTGACTAGGATCCTCAAAGACTCTTTGGGTGGCAACTGTCGAACTGTTATGATTGCTAATATCAGTCCTTCCTCCAAATCCTATGACGACACCCACAATACGCTCAAGTACGCCAACAGGGCCAAGGAGATCAAGTCTACGGTTAGTGGACAAATCGCTGCTGCAGCATTCACACGATCATTTCAGAAGGATCCAACTTGAAAATTGGGTTTCAAAAATGGCTTGAGTTTGTGTCCCCTGTTTGTGATTGAAGGAAAAGGTGGACAGACTGATTCTTTCTTATCACACTGGTATTCCTTAGTATATTATTAAGCCAAAGATCAACATAGTTTGAGAAATGTTTACACTATATGTAGAAGCCTTTCTGTTGCTATCACATCATATCTACTCCCTTAATACTATCCTGTGTAACTTTTTTACTTAATGATTCAATTGTTGTTTCTTACTAGCTCAAGAGCAATGTTGTGAGTCTGGACAGTCACATTAGCCAGTATGCAGTGGTCTGTGAGAGGCAACGGCTTGAGGTATTTTTTTTATTATTTTATAAAAACACATTTAAATAATGGATCATGTAAAAACAGTTCCCAACGTTCAATTACTTAAAGATTCAGCAGTTGAAGCTTAAACTCAAGGAGTATGAGGAAAGAAATGTCTCTCCTGGGGAAGTACAAGTGGACAACTTACCGAAGCAAGCAGAGTTTAAAAGGTAAGCCTATACCTTTCTATAGTAATTAACTGAGTAATGTAGTGTAACAAGCACTGACTTTTTTTCACACCATTGGTTGTCAACACTACCATCTCACAGCAAACGTGATAAATGCCTTTTACACCCTTGTTAAACACAGATGAATCTCTTACTTTATTTACTATATAAAGTACAGTTTAAGCTAGATACATTTTGAATGCTTTGGTTGTGCCCTCTTTCAGACAATTGAAAGGGTACCATAGCTCTACTGCTGAGATGAATTCATACATGTTCTAGGTGATTTACACATATTCACTGCCCTGTGCTGTTAAGTTGTTGCTCGACCTCAGTTAAATTCTGAATCCTTCAACCACATTTTAAGTATTCCTCCTCTGAACAAACCTGTTTGTGTCATGGCAAGGTTTGAGCTAAGATTTCTCAGAAACACCACTTCTCAGAGAAGTCTGCATAACATGGTCCTTGTTGCTGGTTCAAAGTCAATATTACTTAATCAAATGCCATTTAAGAGAATCTTTTGGATTTTTTTCCCCCAGGAAGTCACTTGAGATAGAACCTTTTTTTTTTTAAGGAAGCTATGGAACTTTGTTCTTGCTGTTATCACAAAAATAAACCGCAGCTTGCGGTCAAAACATTTTTTCATCAGAAATGATCAGAGCATTGTGGCAGCTCTGCACTCGTGTGTGTGGTGTGAGAGACCTCCACACCACACTTCCACTTTTCATTGTACAGAAAGACTTGTCACAATTAGTCATCTCTGAGCATGAGGTCAAGTTTATCGAACATATTTTTTTGGTTATTTTCCATAAATATCACAACATCCTTAAATGCATGTTTAATATATATTTTAAAGATCTGTATTGTTAAAACAGAATAATATTCATGGGAAACATTCTTTCAGAGCTGTGTGGCTGCAACAGGCTAAGTAAGATAGTAATGTTTATTTATATAGCGCATTTTACAGACCAAGGTCAGCCAAAGCGCTTTACAATGTTCAGAGTTCAGTTATTGTTGCAATCACTTCACACATGGTGATGACGGAAGCGAGACGCCAGACACGTTGGCGCATCAAAGCCCCAACCAACACCATCCACTCACTCATTACATGCATACCTATTGTGCATGTTTTTAGTGTTACGGGAAACCGGAGCACCTGGAGGAAACCGGAGCAGACACGGGGAGGACATGCAAACTCCACTCCTGTTCTAGACCTTCTAGCTGAGAAACGAGAGTGCTATCAACTAAGCCACTGTGCTGCCCTAAGGGCTTTATGTGATACGAGCATTATGCGCCTGTGCTCTCAGTTTTACATGGTTTCAAGTAAATACAATCAAATTAAATAAACAGTAAATATGTATGTATTTACGTATGTGTGTCCAAAAAAATATCAACACAAGAATGGTACAAATATTGAATTAATTCCATATAGTTATTGTGTTTCAACGGTGTAAATGTATTATATTACCAAAGCACTGAACTTGAACAAGACCTATTTAAATATGTCACAATTAAACAAGAAGCTGCATCCACTGTTTTTCAAAGACCTGCAAAAAGGTCCTGATCTGATTGTATCCAGATCAGGACATAATTTGGAGTAGTGCCTGTCGAGGCAGTTGGGGTAGTGGCCACAAGAGGTGTATGCCAAGTGCCTCATGAATGAGCTCTGCATAAATATTAGACAATCAGTGGGTTTGACAACTGAGAAGGGAGGGGACAGGCTCAAGGAGCAGCACGCACCTGTGAGAGGATTTATTACAAGACACGTTATTGCTAATTCTCATATGTTAAAGGTAAACAAGTTAATTTTGACAGCCCTAATTTATTTATTATCGCGTTAATTCACGTTAATTACCGTTTTCATTAACGCGTAAAAAAATAATTAACGCATGTCCGAATGACCCGCCCATTTATAATAATATCACTCAGAATGCCGCGGACACGTGCGTGCGTGTGTTGGGACAGCGGTAATGTGGTCATATAATACACGCATATAATACAAAAGTAAAGTGTAAAACTAACAATTTAAAAGTCCTAAGTACGTATGTCTCTGAGACCAGGTCCAGATGAGGAGAATTTTAACTACTCCGGTCACTCATTGCTCGTTGGTAATCTCCTCACTTCTGGGAAGGGATTCTTAAACAAATATACACACGACAACTTAAGTACAAGCCCAAAACAGAATGGAAACATGAATACTGCAGATAATACAAGATAAAGCCCAGTAGCACAGGGAGGACGTTAGCTTAGCTTGCTATCAATAGCTAAATTGAGCTAAATGTAGCTAGCTCACTGTGTACAACAGACAATCCAACTTTCACACCAGTAAATACATTTCAGATTCAGATTCATTTATTTGCCATTTGCAGTAAAACCACATAGGAAAAACTGTGCAAGACTACCCCGGTGTGCACCATTTCAGTGAGAGCTTTGGGCCAACGGGATACGTAGCTAACCAGTTATTTCCAGGATTACCACATACTAGTCACAAATCAGGAGCGACCTCCCTGAAAACCTTGTGAAACCTCTGTGTGTGCGTTCGAGCTGCCTTTTGAATTATTTCTTTCGGCCTGAAGAGAGTAACGTGTTGACCTCGTCGACCGACCAGGACTTTGACTTTTGGGGCTTCCTGTGCAAATCCATTTACAGTACCTTGCGAAACTATTCGCCCCTTGAACCTTTCAACATTTTGCCACATTTTAGGCTTCAAACATAAAGATATAAAATTTAAATTTTTTGTCATGAATCAACAACAAGTGGGACACAATCGTGAAGTGGAGTGAAATTTATTGGATAATTTAAAAAACTGAAAAGTGGGGCGTGCAATATTATTCGGCCCCTTTACTTTCAGTGCAGCAAACTCACTCCAGAAGTTCAGTGAGAATCTTTGAATGATCCAATGTTGTCCTAAATGACTGATGATGATAAATAGAATGCACCTGTGTGTAATCAAGTCTCCGTATAAATGCACCTGCTCTTTGATAGTCTCAGGGTTCTGTTTAAAGCGCAGAGAGAACCATGAAGACAAAGGAACACACCAGGCAGGTCCGAGATACTGTTGTGGAGAAGTTTAAAGCCGGATTTGGATACAAAAAGATTTCCCAAGCTTTAAACATCTCAAGGAGCACTGTGCAAGCAATTATATTGAAATGGAAGGAGTATCAGACCACTGCAAATCTACCAAGACCCGGCCGTCCCTCCAAACTTTCATCTCAAACAAGGAGAAGACTGATCAGAGATGCAGCCAAGAGGCCCATGATCACTCTGGATGAACTGCAGATAACTACAGCTGAGGTGGGAGAGTCTGTCCATAGGACAACAATCAGTCGTGCACTGCACAAATCTGGCCTTTATGGAAGAGTGGCAAGAAGAAAGCAATTTCTCAAAGATATCCATAAAAAGTCTTGTTTAAAGTTTGCCACAAGCCACCTGGGAGACACACCAAACATGTGGAAGAAGGTGCTCTGGTCAGATGAAACCAAAATCGAACTTTTTGGCCACAATGCAAAACGATATGTTTGGCGTAAAAGCAACACAGCTCATCACCCTGAACACACCATCCCCACTGTCAAACATGGTGGTGGCAGCATCATGGTTTGGGCCTGCTTTTCTTCAGCAGGGACAGGGAAGATGGCTCAAATTGATGGGAAGATGGATGGAGCCAAATACAGGACCATTCTGGAAGAAAACCTGTTGGAGTCTGCAAAAGACCTGAGACATGGGACGGAGATTTATCTTCCAACAAAACAATGATCCAACACATAAAGCCAAATCTACAATGGAATGGTTCACAAATAGACGTATCCAGGTGTTAGAATGGCCAAGTCAAAGTCCAGACCTGAATCCAATCGAGAATCTGAGTCTCTCGATGTGCAAAACTGATAGAGACATACCCCTAGCAACTTGCAGCTGTAATTGCAGCAAAAGGTGGCGCTACAAAGTATTAGCGCAAGGGGGCCGAATAATATTGCACGCCCCACTTTTCAGTTTTTTATTTGTTAAAAAAGTTTAAATTATCGAATAAATTTCCTTCCACTTCACGATTGTGTCCCACTTGTTGTTGATTCTTGACAAAAAATGTAATTTCTATATCTTTATGTTTGAAGCCTGAAATGTGGCGAAATGTTGAAAGGTTCAAGGGGGCCGAATACTTTCGCAAGGCACTATCTGGAGTGATGAGGACGTAATGTAGCCAAAGCAGAGCAGCCGGTTTTAAAGACGGTGCGGTTGAGTTGGTTTTACCAAAGGGTCGGACGTCGCTTCCAGCGACACTCGTTGACCTATCAGTGTCGGCCGACGTGACATCATGACATCGGTACGGCGCGGATGGGACCACAGTCGAGGTGGTACAAAAAAGTATGCGAACTCCGATACCAAACACGAGTGGAAATGCAAAATAACCGTAACGTACCGTTACTGTGGAAAAGGGCTATTTGACGTTTGATGTTTTTCAGATTCAGATTCATTTATTTGCCATTTGCAGTAAAACCACATAGGAAAAACTGTGCAAGACTACCCCGGTGTGCACCGGTTTTTTTAGCTAACATAATTTCAAATTCAAACTTTTTAAGGTGAGAAAAACTTGAAAATTGTTACTGATACTTCGAGGGCAATGTTTACAGGATTCATGCAATGTGAAACTTTTAAACATTTTACAACTGAATTTATAGTAAACCCATGTTAAAATTGTATAATTCTATACAGCAGGTATTCACGGCAGGGCTCGACATTAATGGTTGTCCGCTAGCCCGGGGCAAGTAAAGAATTGGGATGGGCAAGTGCGCAGTTTTAGCAAGTTGCCCAATCGGGCAAGTGATGTGTTGCTTTAACGCATTCAGGCTGGGAATACCGTCCTTCATCTGGGACCTGCACTGTTTCTCGTTTTTTGAATAATTCTCTTCATTAGTAAATTCTCTGGATCAATGACATGCATCTGGATAGACCAGGAATCAAAATGTTCTGCGGATCCGCGATTTACAACTTTTTTCCACTGAAACGGGCACTTTCTGTTGTTTGCATTACTTGAACGGCATTCACTTCCTCCGCTCTGAGCCCAGCAGCTGTGGCCGCTTTGTACCCTAGACGCGAGGGCAGGACTATAGACGCCGCATGCAGGATCATAGACGCCACGTACAGAACCATAGATGCGAGGGCAGGACCATAGACGCGAGAGACGAACCATAGAAGCGCAGACAGAAAACATAGACCCGCGTTCACTCACAAAATTAAAGCTCGGGTACCTAAAATTTACCCTTGCATTTAACAATACAAGGTGGTGGTGCACCAAAGTAAAATGTTGTGAACAAATCCAATAGAACACACCACAACAGGCGTCTTGTTTTTCTGTTTTGCATACTTAAGAGCCTTGGGAGTCATTATTTGACTTTTTGGGCAGAGAGTGGTGTTTTTATTATTATATATTATTATTTTTTATTAAGAACACAATACAACACGGCCCATTGGTAAAAGAAAGTATGCAATACACACAATATATTGCATATTGGTTTTTTTATATATATATATATATATAATATATTATTATTTTCATATATATCCACTATGTTTTTAATTTTGTCATTGCATTTCAAGAGTTATGCATCAAATAAAGCAACATCCAGTTTGTTATCTTAAATATAAAAAAAAACTAGGTTTAAATATATAATCCAGGTTTATTTGGGGTAAATATTTTTTATTCATGACGATTGACGTATATCAGTCGTCATAAATAATTACTAAATGCCTTTGGGAGGATTAGTTGATAAAAGTAAAAAATAGGTAGGTAGTTTTTTTTGTTTGAAAAAATAATAGATAAAGATTCCACAAAATACAGCATTGAGGACGTGAAGATGATTATCAATAGGCATTCGGGTGACATAAAGGAATAAAAAAAATGTTTAATTTTTTTTTTCTGAATACTGGCAAACAAATACCCTATGTATCAAAATATGACAATTTTCTGGCAATTATTTCATGGACCAGACTTTATAGTGTTAGGTACAGTGTGTTTGTACATGTACATACACGTACTGTACGCGCACAGAGACGTACCACACAGAGACAGACGAGTAGAGCCGCAGATCAAGTAAACTGTGTCAAAGCTCTTAACTACATCATGGATCTATAATAAAAACATGCACCACGTCTCTGAAGTCTCAGTGAACGCCGCGCGCTGCAAACGTCACCACACACGGCACAAACACATGCTTTAAAAACTCTGACTTGCACACATTTCGGAGCTTCCTCACGTTCCGCGCAAACTTGCGCCCAGGTGTTTCATGTTGTTTTCTTATTGTGGCGCGGCTTTGCCGGACAGCTACTTTACCAACGACTATAGTAATGCATCATGGGATCACCCTTGCTCACAAGTGAGCTCCGGACCTCCCTTGCGCTTAAGGGTGTCTTCTCCCTAAGTATTGGGACACCCTATAACCCCCGCGGGCACGTGCAAAATCTAGGGCAAGGGTGATAATTGGGACGGGGCTTTGCACAAACAAATTACAAGTGTATAGCTTGTTTATGTAAGCCTATGATGCACAACATGATATGGCGTGCGGCAGTGAATGGTCCAAGGAGCAAACCAAGGGTTAGTGCGTAGGGCATGAGTTGGTGTGCAAGGACAGAGACGGACACCTGCAGGTCTATTTGGACCCGGTGTTTCTTAAACCAAGGACCATGATCTCTACAGTCACATATACAGTGGGATATTTTCTGCGATGTCACAGCACAATATCGAAGACTAGCCAAAATAGAGGCTGGTCAACTGGAGCACTGACACAGTGCTTATCACATGCATGCTTTCCATTTGGAGCAAGTGGCTTCAAAGTGAAAATAATGATGTAAACAAACTGTCGGATCACAGTTCTGTGCAAACACTTCTGCCTAATCATGGGAGTTTTCTTGTCTCTTTCCAAGAAATGTCCAAGCTTCATAAACGTTTTGCAGAATGTGTTCTAGGAAATGCATAGCATTATGGACTTCCTGCGACATGTTTGCAGGATCACATATCGCACTTTTTCAAAATATTGTGCAGCCCTAGTGACTTTAATTGGCACAAACTGAAGAACATGCTATCAATTCATATATTTCACCGAAAAGGTTATGCACTCGCAAAACATTCAGTCAAAGCTTGAAGAAGGAATGTGTTTTTTGTCTGATTGAAAACACTGTGTTTTCAATGTCTATTTAGTTAGTTCTACTTAACCATACAGTTGTATATGACATATTTATGAATACATTTGTGGTCAATCAGAGCAAATCTAAGAACCGTGTTTTCCTCTGCGTGTCACAAATATGTATTCAGTCCACATTGGTATTTGGGGCGGGGGATACAGAAAAGCTGAATGAGTCTCTCCCACACGTTTCATTCACTGGCATCAGAATTCACAACTCACACAGAGGCTCTGAATAGAGGCAGCACGCTTCTCACACTATTAAAAATTCAGCAGTCTAGCAAGGCCACGGCGGCTCCTACGTCACTGGAGTTACATTGAAGAGTGCAGTCACATTTCAGAGATGGCTCTCTGCTCTTATTTACCTTCTGCCTCTCCTCCCGTTTTAGCCTCTACAGACAGCCTCTTACATCTAATCTGGTATATCTCTTTTTCCCTGGGATTATATTCAGCACCGACGTCAGAAATTTAATTCTGATGCAAACTTGTGACCTTGTATAGATAGAAGACTTTAAGCCATTCTTTCAACGTGATTTGTACCTTTTTAAATCATATTAATGCAGATATGTTTGATAGAGCGCTGAAGCGATTAATTGAATTGACCGATTGCAAAACTACTTTGATTACAAATTCCCTTATCTCAATTAATCAGACATTATCATATTGTAGAAATATTTTTGACTCTTTTGAAGTTATCCAGGTAGGTTAAATGGCAAGCCTCAGGGTTCCTTGGGTGACTGATAATGCAAAACTGCAGATAATGCAAAACAGAAGATTTCCGACACATCTCTTTCATCTTTAAAAAGTTGATTTGTGTGTGTTTCTATATGCTGTTAGTTCAGATTACTTTTATTTAGCAACTTTTACTCCATATTGAAATTTTAAATGCTTATGCATGTGCTCCATGGATTACTATATCAAAATAGCATAACAAGTGCTATACTCCCCTACCAATATGAATCTAATGAGTGAATGCATGGTGGTGGTTGGGGGCTTTGATGCGCTAGTGTGTTCGGTGTCTTGCTTCCATCGTGTGTGGAGAGAATGGAACAATATCTGAACTTTGAATATTGTAAAGCGCTTTGGATGACCTTGGTCTGTAAAAATGTGCTATATAAATAAAGATTACTTACTTACATTTACCACAAAATTATCTCCACAGCTTGTGAAGACCACCCCCATGCTTTAGCGTAGGGTTGGTGTTAGAAGCTTCCCCTTTCTACCCCAAATGTATGACCAAAGATTTGTGTTTCTTTTGAAGTAAGAAACATGTGTTCTATAAGACTTTGAAGAAGTAATTCATGTTTGTTCAGAACTTTTTTTACTTTGGACAGATAGATACTTTATTGATCCCCAAGGAGAAATTCAGGTGTCCCGTAACCGCAGAAACACGTCCATTCATACAAACAACACAGAAGCAGAGGGGGTGTTGCCGCTTAGTTCGAACAATTTTCTCTGCTCTTGTCCAAAGTGAGATGCTGAATGATCAATAACGTTTATCTCACATCTCTCTCAATGCTTTGTTAGCATTTTTCAAAAAGTTAGCATTCCCCCAGTGGATCTTTGCCTGATCCGCTTGTTTCGGACCTTGAATCATCTGCTCTAGTCTGGACCAATGCAAAACCATGTACACTGCACTGCAGCAACATTTCAGGTTGAAAATAACAAGAAAAATAACAAATGTGAAGAATTGTATACAAAACAACTGTTTCAGAGCTACTTAGGACTTGCTGCCGTTTCCAGCACAAGCAGAATTCTGCGCTGAGGATTACCAGCAGAGAATGTCATTACTCTGCTGGTTATGACGCATTCTTACTAGCGTCATTAAATAATTGTAAAAGATTTTGTTCTAGGTTTCACCCATTACGGACCACTATATGCTTCTCTCTAGTACACTGCACCAGTCTCCCTCCTGAGTGGAGTGAGTGTTGAACATTCCCAATCCTTTATAGTTAAGAAAAAATATTTAAACAGTTGAACAAGCTTTGGAGAATTGTCTTAATTTTTTGATTTCCCACTGCTTTCTTGTTTTAAGGCTACATTCTAAACACACTGCTTTCTTGTTAGACATCTTCAGTAGTGCTGCTAATCAACTGAAATGTTGTGAGCTAATTTGCATTATAATTTTTTACTGACCGTGAATAAACATTCTTACTTTGAACGAATTCGTCCATCCACCTTCTTCCCCTTAATCCTTTTCTGGGTCGGGGTTTGCAGTGGGCTGTTCCCAATTCAGCAACATCCCCTCACTGATCCTCCTGCAGGTGGTGAGTCCACGGAAGGGGCTTCAGGCAAAGTGGGGTAAAGTGTCTTGCAGACATCAGTGGGAGTCGGTTGAAAAGGTCTCGTGGTGGGATCAAACCCACGACCTACAGGCTCAAAGGCCAATGCTCTACCAATTGAGCCACTGTCGTCCCAGCCAATTCCCTCTAAACTTTTCAATGTCATCAGCATCTAAAATAATAATCCATTCATTTTGAGAAGATTTTTGGCAGCTACATGTTATAAGGGATTTAATGAATGGGAATCGATATGAAAGTTTTGTATCTGAGAAAAGTTATTTCTGTGTAGAGTATCTGAGGCTCTGCAGCGGATCTTCTCAAGTCGCGCTCAGATCAGGAAGGAGGAGCTGGAGCTGGAGAGGCAGCTGAAGGAGAACGAGCTCCGACAGCGCTACTGTGAGGAGGACCAACTGCAGGTCCAGTACCTCTGTGCCAAAGAGAAGACGGAGAAGGTACACTTTGCTTATTCTGCATTCCACTGAGTCCAGCACCCCTGCAGAAACCACTCCTGACTCATCACTTCACTTCCCCAGTTGACTTTTACACTCACTTGGGCCTCTTTGCTTATTTTAATGTGACTTTTACCAAAAGCTTTAACTCATATGCCTCTGCTGGTTGTTCTTTACTATAGTCATAACTATAACAAAGCATTTATCAGTGAATTATTTTCACATTGAGTTTCTAATATCCTCCTTTATTTCTCTCTAACAGGCCACTTGTAAGTTTGAGCGCAAGATTGCCAGCCTGCGCACCCAGCAGCAGCACATTTGCAAACGCTTGAAGGAGACAAAGACACGCTTTTTGGACAATGACGGATGTCTGCACCGCATCGAAAATGAAATGAAATTGTTAAAGACAAATAGTCACTTCTCAGAAGTAAGTACATCTTGGAACTTGATGTAAATAATTGTTACAAAGGGTTTGAGAGATGATTTACTTTCAATGTGTTTGGCTCTAAGCAATTTAAAACATATTTGTCAGCATTATGCTTATCCTGCTCACAACTCTTGATTGCGAGTTGCATAATTACACAAGCTACGAGCCATCTAACCTGTTGGCTGACTCTAACAAGCTCAGGCTGCTTAATTATACAGACTACAACTTTACAATGTGCATTAGTGCCTTCAAAAGTCATCAGTTGTTGTTTTTTGTTTGTTTATTTGTGAAGGTAGGCTGTGTCTCACTGATGTCGTGACTATCTTTGTTTTCTTCCCATCTGTTCCCCCAGTAATTAGAGCCGTGCTCATTTTATTTCTCCAGCTCACTCGTAGATCACCGAAGAGAATAAATCAATAGCCTTTACTCATCCTTCACACAGGAGCCGGTTACCTAAATCCGTGTCAATGTTATTTTTTTCTTCTTATTCCAGGAACAGGCCCAGAACTATGACGCACCTCTGGTCAAATGTTCTCAGCCCTGTTGTTTCATAGTTTTCTGGCGTCACTTCGCCTTTCCCCTCTTGTTTCTGACAATCTTCCAGCTACAAACCTACATGAAAAGTGCATATTCGCCCTTGCCGTATTTCTGGCTTCCTACTGGGGCCGCTGCAGAACTCCCTGCTGATTTAGCGTGTGCAACTCTGACTTTGCTGCCCCGACCTTGTGCAGGTGTTGGAGAAGGAGCTGCACTGCCACAGACTGGAGTTGCAAGTGAACGATCTGAAACAACACATTAAGCAGATGGTTGAGCTCACAACAGTGCAAGACCAGGAGAACAAGCGGATGCAAAAGTAAGTTGTGTTAACACTAGAAATCAATCAGGGTACAAAAGACAAAACATGTCCGTGAAACTATTGTAAGAAGATAACTAAAACTGCTACTATTAAAAAAAATATATATATCCTGATATCTTCATTACAATGAAGGAAGTCTTTAAAAGCCCCCGCAGGCGGAGGCAAACGAGAAAAAAAAATACATCTGCTGGCAATATCAGATGTATTTTGAACTTTATAAGCCACAAGCTATATATCATTGTAAAGCTTATTTTCTCAGCTATATTTATATGTAAGTGTAAACGATATCAGACTTTTCATTAAAAAGATATGACGCATAATATGGGCACAAAATAAATTGTGTTTGTATAAGTTTCTTACCTTTTGTCTTCTGCTGCTCCAACAAATTAGACTTTCCCCATCCTTGCTTAGTCTCTTTCTCTCCGTAAGTCTTCAGTGAAAAAGAATATCCACTTGTAATTCCCAAAGTATAATCCATTCTTCAGAAATAATCCAAAAATTTGCATTTTTCTGTTGCAAAAAAAACGCTCCAAAAAATGTTCAGGCTTCTCTTTCACATTTCACCAAGTTTGAGCTTTGTTTACCCCCACAAACTTCATATCCACATGTTCCTTGAGTCCTTAGCTTCAAAAAGAGAGGTTTCATGAAAAGATAGAAGCGGGTTTCAGTCCGCAGGACCCTTGTGAAAAAGACAAACCGCATCCACTTGCAGAGGGCCTGTTTTTGCCTTGTTGTTGATTACAGGCTAGCGCAATGTGCTAGCACTGAATGATTGACGTGTCTAAGTAGCCAATAAAAAGAGCTTTCTTTTGATGGGTGGGACTTGTAGGAACTCTTCATTTTCTCAGTAAAAGCGTGCGTAAAGACGCTGTTAGTACTGCTGCGCATATTTTATATGCATTTACACTACTAAAAAAATAATTTTGAAAAAATGTAAAAGAAAATCACACAGATTTGTAACTTATAAGTACCAAAACTAAAAAATATGCTTTTTATGATGGTGAAATGTTAGTAAACCAATTTTGCGAAATTGGTTCCGAATGGCACTACTTGATAAAAAAGAGAAACTGCATAAAAACTATAAAACTTAGTCTGAAAGACATTTGGGTATGCCAAACTTTTGTGCACGAGCCAAAACAGATGTAGGAGTTTAAGAGGTTAAGGGGTAGCACAAAAACATCCATTACTCTGGTGTAAATAAGGCTAAACAATGCAGTAAGACCTTCTGTCCTGAGGAACGGAAATGAGTGAGTGACGGAATGAATCCTAAAGGATGGCAATAATGATAATATTAATAATATCATTTTAAATTATTATTATTTATGTAATTACTAGGGATACACCGATACGATACTGGTATCTGGTCGATTCCAGAGGCTGCACTATACTATACTGTACTCATACCATAAGACCTGATACCCGCAGCAAATACCCACAATTTATTTTACATTATTGTAACGACAGCTGACAGATGTGTGGCATGTGTTGCCATGGTGATCTCCCAAAGTCTGCAGCGAGAAAGTGCTGCCACTAGCTTAGCGGCAAGCGGATGTTGCTTTATGGCAAGTAAACGAGTAACAAAAGAGAAGTGGACTAAAGCTGTCAATTCCCTGGGATAACATAATTCAGTACTTGTATCGGTGTATCACGAGTACTCAAATTAAGGTATTCTAGGGTAATCTTTGGTGGTATTGGTGCATCCATAATTATTATTTTTAGTGCGACAGATTTACTTTCTTGTGCCTTCAATTTACCTTTGATTACATTTTTTTAAGTCATCAGTTAACTGATCTTTATTTCCCCATTGAAAGTTACTTGTTTTGTCAAACTTTGTCTCCTCAAATATGGACAAATGCCACATTTTGAAGCTCGCAATCTTCAGAATGCACTTGATGTGTGATAATCCACACATCTATTTCTAGATGCTCTAAAAAGTCTGTAAAAGATCAAATTAACAATAGCCCAAAGCAGAGATCATAATCACTAGTTCATCCTGCCAACCTCAGTTTGGGTAATATACACACATCATACAATCTAAAAGTGAGTAACTTCTAGATTTCAATATCTAGTAAGAAAATAAACAATCATTATTCAAGCACCTTAAAATCCACAAAATGTTGGCTTTTAAGTGCTTTTAAGTGTAGAAGTAACCTTTGTTAGCTGTTGGCATTGTTTGTTTGTTGAAGATCCTTGCTAAAGATGGTAACATTTGTTCATACAGTATATGATATGCATGATGAATCGGCCGACCCCTCGGCAGAACAGAATATTTGAAAACATTAGTATTGGTTTAAAACAAGATCCAAATCGGTCCTTCCCTACTTTAAGTATGTCAAGTCTGTGTTTGTTTTGCTCTTTCAGAATGATGAACATTCTCCTGCCTGCTTACAGCCGCCATCACTCCTCCCTGTGTGAGGCAGGCTTTAGCACAAAAACAGACCAAGACGAGAGCGCTGAGTTGGAGCACTTGGCCCTAAGGGAGAGGGCCGTCGTTTGGGCAGATCAGGGGGGGGCAGAACTAACCCTGAAGCTCGAAGGAAACGGGGGGAAATCGAAAGTGATCAATAAAACTGAAGCTGTGGATCTCCGCAGTGAACTGGCACCTTTCCTGTCTTTCTCACACCTGCATTACCACCAGAGCAGCCCCTGCAGTAAGTTTGCTAACAATAACAGCTATTCCTTCTTCTTTTTATTTCTTTGTTCTAAAGACTGGAACACTTGACTGGAACAAGTTTGTTTTATTCAATGTATATGAATTATATGCATTGTTGTTAAGTGTATATACTTGCTCTAAATGTGCAAAACAAAACTTATCTAAGAGGTTGGGGTTGTTTTTAAACATGTAACAACATTATTCCCACGTAAAAACCAGAACTTGAGTAGTTTTTAGCTATATCCATGCCCATCATATTCAAATGAGTTGTCTGCCTTTTAAACTATTTTTATTTTTTTTATATCTAAATTCTAACTGCATAGCTGTGTGTGCAGGGGGATCTTTAAGGGGTACAAACAAAATAGTTATGTACTTTAGCTTTAAATCATGACATATCACCTCAAAAGTGTATGTTGTTTTAACCACTTGATAACCTAAAGTGACTTCACAAAGAGCTTCTACTGCACTGATCACTCAGGCTTCACAGTGAATTAATTAAATTTGAACCGCAAACACGGCACAGCTCCGAGAGCAAGCTATGGTATGATTCACAGTCACTTGGCAAAGGTTGACTATCAACTTTTTGTTCAACCAACTTTCACCATTTTCTCTCTGCAAAATACATGGAAAAGTGTTGACCCACCTGTTTTTTATTCTCAAAATCCATTGTCATAAAACCTCATTTGTGATAATGTTCAAATTAAGAAACATGTACTATGATTAAGTAATAACTATTGTAAAGAGCATTTGATATCAGTATTAGTGGATTATATTGTAAAGTTATTATTATACGTTATTAGTTTGTCTTTTATTCAAACGCAGGATTGAAACCTGTTTGATAAATAATTAATTCATAATTAAATACATTTACTGCTGTAGTTGTAGTCCTACATGCCCTATGCTAACGTGTGAGCTTATGTCTTTGTTGTATACACATGTCAGGCCTGTGTCGGGTGTCCCGCATGGACCAGTGCGTCTGGCTTTGGTCCAAGTCCAGTGTTTGTTGTGGGACCGAGCACCAGTCTGATCACTCTTAACTGTCATCCCCACATGACCCAGCATCACAGACATCACAGACGTGACAGACAGCAGAGCAGCTCCAACTCACGCACACACCACTCCATTACTGCCAGAGCTTGTCTATCATTTATCAGCCCAAACTGCACCTGCCCCCTGCTCCCAGCACTAGTTTTCAGCTGAGATCGGGTCAGTCTCATGTGCACAGGCAAGTGTTTACTCAAAGCCTGGGGTCCATGTAACCAGCTCATGTATTATAATAAGTAAAAGTCTTGTTCTGTTGGCAATTAAAATGCATTATAATATAAACGGTATTCAACGCAAACATAATTTGTTTCTAGAAATGACAAAACTGGTAAACACATTACTATAAATTCAGGCAGCCCTAATCATCTCAATGTTGCTGTGGAAACAGAATCACATTGGTACTGTGGCCAGTGGTGCATTTTCTGAGGGTTTTAATCCAGTTTAATTCCTATAAACTCACTAACTAACTCAAGTCTTTTGTTGTAGAAGAAGTCAAGTCATGTCATAAATGTGCTTAATAATTTCAACACAATAGGAACACTGTTCAGGTTTACAATTTTAAACCTATAGTCAGTTTGGTGTCTTCTGATTTTAAAAAGATGTTCCAAAGTAGGGGTCCCGAAAGTGGTACAAACGTTTAACCCCCTAATTTTTGTGTTGCAATTGATTCAATAGGACTACTTGTTAAATTGTGTTTGGAGAAGAGTGATAGAAATATAATATATTTTGATTCAATTTGTATTTTTGTCCCAGACATTACGAGAGCGACAAAACGTGTCCGGCTGTTGTTTGCTAAGACTAAAGGTTTGAATGCTACCAAAATATAATACCTGCTTATAAAAAAAAAAACGGTGGTTAAGGTCCACAATAGAAAAACCCAGAAGGAGAGAAAAGTCACATGTGCCAGAGGCGAGGCTGATGATGCGAAGACTGTGGCGGAGGGAACATCCGAGAGGGCAGCAGAGAACAGTGAGGGCGAGCCGCAAGAAATGCGGCTATTGAACCCGGCTTACTCCAAATCAAGGAAATCCATGCTTTACATTTCTCGCGACTAGAATGCTTGTTGAGGGTCACGGCACAGCAGCGCTTTTATCACGTGGGCTAAAAACTTTCCTAGAAGACAACTTAAAGTGGCTCATTGTACCCGACTCAAATTAATTGATCACCTCTCACACCTTTTGGTCAGGATTACCTTCTAAGCAGTATTTCACTGTAACTGTATTTACGCACATTTGGCTGCATATAATAGGCAGGGATTAGAAGCATATTATAAGGGAAAATACTGTGGACGTTACTCCTCATTTGTTGATATCAAAACTCCTGTTTGGTTGTGGTGTGCCAGGATCCTCACAGACATCATAACATTGAAAACATATACAGTAGGGGTGGGAACCTAAGGGTACCTCACGATACGATACGATACGCGATACAAAGCTCACAATTATATCACGATAACGATTTTATCACGATATGACGATTATCGATATATTGGTCAGCAATATACCATATGCAAATATATGGCATACATAAAATAGAAAAATGTTAAGTGAAAAAATACACTTTATTTCATGATAAATGGAATGGACATGTGTAATGTAGCCATATATTAAGTATTAATACTAATAAAAAAAAATCAAAATGGATACTTGGCAAATGCATATCGATAATCGATCGCGGGAGAAAGTATTGCGATCTATTGAAAAATCGATATATCGTCACACTCCTAATATACAGACAGATTGTGATTACCCTATAAGCATAGTTTTCGGTCTATTCTTCACTTAATGTGCCATTTCACTTTTGCTTCTTTGATACTGTCCGCTGTTGACTAAGCTTCTTTAGCTTCTGTAAACTGTACAGTTTCATGTTTTATGTCATACTTTTTGGAATTGCCAAAAAAATGCTAAAATAAAATGTTACATCTGCATGTCACACACCTGCACATGTGCCTTGCTTCAATAGTTGGATGGGATTGGGTTTTCCGTATTAAGATTTATAATAAGAAATAATTATAACAACATACTGTATGTCTTAGTTTGTATACTGCACTTTTGTTCTGTGATGTGATTATTTTTTATTTTATTATTTTAACTTAACACCGTATTGTAAATACGGCATATTATTCTAAGAAATATATAATTGAACCAATCTGTTAGATTAGAACTTTGTACAACCTAAAACAAATCTGAATAATAATAAATGTTACTTTCTTTTTACAGGTTCCAATACCAGTTTAAAGGGACCCTCACTGTGTCACGTTGCTTCCTCACTGAAAGGTAAACCACTGATATACTTTGCCGATTCACATGAAGCCCTCAACTTCAGTCAGGGCTGTTCATTTATGTGTCACCCAGCACCCGGTCCATCAACATTAATAAACGGGCATCTGTTAAAGCCATTACAAACACAATACTTTTATGACTTCCCATTGAATGCAAATATAAACATGACTTGTGTACACTTCTTTATTACAACCCCTTGTTTTTTCACTTTCGTGATGTAGACTTATTGAGACCAGTAAAATGCACCATAAAACTGACACAAGTAATATACTGTGATTTATGGAGGTGTAGCAGACGTTTGTCCTGGCCAAAGCTGAATAATGAAAAGATGTAAATGTTCACAGCCAGTTTTATAGAGGAGAGAGTGGAGAGGGGCCTTCAGGGAGGTCAACGCAAAAGGGCCCGTGAAATACTGCTCTTCAAATTGGGTGTAATGACATTTATTGCAGGTGGTCTGCATTTATTGAAACATATTGTGGGAAATTTATGGTAGGAAAAACAGCTGTGCCAAGTGATCTGTGAAAAAATTAACAAGAAAAAAATACGAAGAGGTGTCGCTAATGTTAAAATTCACATAAAAGCATGTATTTTCAGGCATCCAGTTGGTTCGCTCACAGCAGCAGGAGTGATGCCAGTTCTCGTCTCTTCAAATGTTTATGTGCTTGTAATTGACTGAATTAGTTGCAAATGGAGAGTAGATTTTTGTGGCCTGTTAAACTAAATTGTTTTGTCCAACATTTGGCTTGAAATATGTTGACGTTCTTGGAAAAAATACCGGTCATGAACAGGGAGAAGACTGCATGTGTCGGTATCACAAAATCATCCTGAAATACTATTGGCAGAGTTCATACAGTCTGGGAAAACCTGGAAAAGTCATGGAATTTTCAATCAAATTTCCAGGCTCTGGGAATAAATGTGAAACTGATCAATGGGTATAAATTAGGAATTACGCATTTAGTTATTTATTTTTTTACATTCCTCCTAATTCCTAATGATCGTTTTATTTGAATCCCTATTCTCTACTAAATGTGTCATGTTCACTCACACTGATGCTTGTTATTAATTATAGAGCATAGTGACGCTGTAATTAAATAGTAATCAGCCATCTTGAATAATCTGCACACGCAAAGAGGAGGCGTTTCTTTTGCAATTTATGTCACCATCAATCAATATGTTACACACTGGCAGAAAATGCAGAGCTTATTGCATCTCATAAGACAGTGCACACAATGTAATTACAACTCAATCTCGATTGGGGCAAGGCTTAACTTTATTGATCTCACAGTGGGGACATTTACCAGTAAAGTAATACACACAATCCATACATTAAAACACAATGGATAGTCAAGCAAAATAAGACCATTTTTTATAATGGTTTATTTGTACAATCCTGATCACACTTTTTGTGAGTGTGAAGGTTCTTGCACTAAACAGATGAGGTGGAGATGGCAGTCAGGATGAAGGATCTAATAATAAACATGAACTCGTCTTGCCCCGCCTTGTCCTCTGATCCTGCCCCGTCTGCACACATCCTGGTGAACACTAGTGCAGCAGAGCAAAATGACAAATGTTTTCACAGGCCGTGCTGCTGCTGCTGCTGTTATTTAACGGACTGCTATAATCTGATCCGCTGCTGTTGTCACTCCCTTACAGCCTCCTGGGCTCTTAATGCTCGTCACTGCCGCATGTTATGAGAAAAGGCTCCACCCTGCAGCTTTCTAAACCAATCAAATCTGATCAGGTTGAGAGGGCCAGGGATTTGAACGAGTATTAACTCTTATGGTGCTGGTTTGTACCGCAAAACATATAGAGTGCATGTTGACAAACATGTGATTTCTCATTTTGCAACGTGAGGGATTTTGCCCCTATATTTAGAATCCCACTTAACATATCCTCATCATTTATAATTAACATCCTGCCTGTATATCAGTCTCATTCTTTTTTTCTTTTGATCACCTTTTTAATGTCTGTTGAAGTCTGTTCATCTCCTCTGCCCAATACCTTTTTGTTTCCTCCTACTTGCCTTTTCTCTGTCTTGCTGCCGAACCCGCCCAATCCCTCTTGAGCTTCATTCATGAAAATCCACAGCAGGGCAGGGAAAAACGTCAACACACGTAAACTCCCCTGCTCCACCAACCAGAAAAGGCGCACTATAAAAAACGGCGACAACCAGGCGACCCTGATTCAGTGCAGCCTACACCAGAAATAGCAACTCATGCATGTATTAATCCCCTACAAGCCAAAAATATGTGATTGAAAGAACTCTGCTGCCATGTATTGCTAAGAACAATTCTACAGCGCTACGGAAGGGAGGATTTATCTTCATCTCCTCACTGCCCCATCTCCAGTCTGACTCACTTTCGGCTAAAAATTGCGTTGTGATATTTAGGGGAGAGGAAAGGGATCAGGTTTTCATTTGCATTTACTGTTCTGGCATTTGTCCTCCCTTCCCATCACACTTACAGCACCTCTGCAGGAAATGCCATGCCTTTAATGGCTTTCATAATGCGATGCAGACATGACCAAACACATTGACCCCATTATGCACCGCAACCTGTACACAGATGCTTAGTGGGGATAAAGGGAGGGGGTGTTTTGTGAATGGGCCGGTGTGAAAGAACTGCAGAAGATATAAAAAGAAGATGTTTGCATTTAAAGGCACAGTGCAGTTATCCCACTCTGTCCCAGTACCAGAACAATGGAATGTGAAATTATGTATATGTAATAAATATATATATATATATATATATATATATATATATAATTAGTCGGGGCGACAGTAGCTCAGTTGGTAGAGCATTGGCCTTAAGGCCTGAAGGTCGTGGGTTCAATTCCCACCTCTACACCTTCTCCACCGACTCCCACTGATGACTGCTGCCGTTGTGTCCTTGGGCAAGACACTTAACCCCACTTTGCCCAAAGCCCCCACTGAAAGATCAAGGCTATGCTCACACTCAGAGAGCAGCCGTCCTCCTGTGGACTCACCACCTGCAGAGGGTCAGTGAGGGGCTGGTGCTATGAGACTTGGGTGGCATCTCTGATTGCCACCCCCCTGACCCAGAAATGGATTAAAGGGTAGAAAATGGATGGATGGATATATATATATATATATATATATATATATATATAATATATATATAAAGTTTAAATTGCAGTTTACAACCCCTGGCAGATTATGAATTTTAACACAAACATTTATTTTCACTTATTAGTGTTATGTGTGAAGATGAATTGACAAATAAAAATGTTTTCAAATTATAAGGACCGCAGAAACTACTTAATTACCCTTATTAGTATTAGTTTCCATCCCCCACGTCTCAATAGTGTGTATTCCTTCTTAAACATCTATGACAGCTGTGTATTTTGTGGTATTTGTGGATGAGGCACTTGATCCTCTCTGATGGTAAAGCTGCCCATCCTTCTTTGCAAAAACCCTACAGTTCTTAGAAAATTCCTGGGTCACCTTGCATGAACTGCACTTTTGACCTCTCCAAATTTCACCTAAATTATATCATCTTTTTAAGATAGGAACGACTGTTAGACAACATATGGCAACACACAACCATGATGATACCATAATTTTCAGTGTTTTGCAAGCAGAATGTTTTCACACTTCATTCTCTGGACTGCATGGAAATGAGGATTGCAGTTCTGAAAAGCACTGAACATGCACCGAAAGTAAAAAATCAGAGTTCCAACATGAGTGACCTTCTGAGTTTCTTGCTAACCTTGTGCGCATTGCTCACGTCATTTTCCGAGATAAAGACAATTCTTTTAGTCTATCAGCAAACGTTTGATCACAAAGTAATTTGTCCACAGCTCTTTGCTACATTTTTCTTGCATTTTATACTAAAGTGACACACTGATTCAAATGCATTCTTACCTTTTGTGTTTTAGGACAAGAACTCCAAACAGACACCAAGCAGGCTGGCCCCTCCAAAGCACCCACCAGAAGAAACTTGTCTGCAGCTATGGCCCCTGAGACCCCCAGGAGCTCTGTTCTGCCCCTGGTGTGGGACGATGGGGTAGTTCCCCTGCAGCACACCCCTGAGCACACGCAGAAAACAGTCCCGGCCGCGAGCTTAGATCCTAACACCACGTTTGAGGTCCTGGAACAAGAGGATCAAACAAACGCAACCATCATCCTGGGCCAGAGCAGCAGTCCAACTCCAGAGCCTCAGCCTGCGTCTCTCTGGGGTCAAAGCCAGCCCCCGAAAGGCAACATGAACAAGAGGTTTGTAATGTGCTAAACTATAACCAGCACATGGATCATGGACCAGTATCTGGAGACTTCTTCTCAAACTCAAAACTGGTTCATTTCAATTCAAATAAATATTTAAATTGCAGAAGTCCAAAGTTATCCCATACATTCTCGCATCCAACTTTTTCACTATGTTGATAAGTGTTTATCACTTTTTTTATTCCCCTTGCAACAGGCTAACTAGAACAAGCATAAAAGTACACTTTCTGTCTCTTGGCAAGGCAAATGTATTTGTACAACACATTTCATACATGAGGAAACTCAAAGTGCTTAACAAAACAAGATTAAAACAATCAAATAAGGCATTAAAAATAAAATCATAAACAAACAATGCATTAAAAAGAGTGAAGATATAATCCTTCAGTTGTATGCACAGCTAAACAGCCGTTTTCAACCTTAATTTGAACATTGGCAGAGTAGTCTGTCTCACATTTTCAGGAAGACAGTTCCAGCATGTTACAGTGGGGCAAAAAAGTATTTAGTCAGCCACCAATTGTGCAGGTTCTCCTACTTAAAAAGATGAGGGAGGCCTGTGATTTTTATCAAACCTCAACTATGAGAGACAGAATCCAGAAAATGACATCTGATTTTTAAAATAATTGTTTTGGCAATTATGGTGGAAAATAAGTATTTTGTCAATAACAACAATACTTTTTTATATACCCTTTGTTGGTTCTGTAATTCTTCACATGGTTTTCCCACACTTGTTGGTATTTTGGCCCATTCCTCCATGAAGATCTCTAGAGCAGTGATGTTTTGGGGCTGTCGCTGGGCAACACACACTTTCAACTCCCTCCAAAAAATGTCTATGGGGTTGAGATCTGGAGACTGGCTAGGCCACTCCAGGACCTTGAAATGATTCTTACAAAGCCACTCCTTTGTTGACCGGGAGATGTGTTTGGGATAATTGACACGTAGCTGGGTCTTTCAACATGATATCTTCAAAGCCCTTGTTGATGGAAGAAGGTTTTCATTCAACATCTCATGATACATGGCCCCATTCATTCTTTCCTTTACACGGATCAGTTGTCCTGATCCCTTTGCAGAAAAAAAGCCCCAAAGCATGATGTTTCCTCCCCCATGCTTCACATTTTTCATCTGACCATATTACATTCTCCCAATCTTCTTCTGGATCATCCAAATGCTCTCTAGCAAACTTCAGACGGGCCTGGACATGCACTGGCTTCAGCAGGGGACACGTCTGGCACTGCAGGATTTGATTCCCCGTCGTCGTAGTGTGTTACTGATGGTAACCTTTATTACTTTGGTCCCAGCTCTTTGCAGGTCATTCACTAGACCCCCCGTGTGGTTCTGGGATTTTTGTTCACCGTTCTCGTGCTCATTTTGACCCCACGGGATGAGATCTTGTGTGGAGCCCCAGATCGAGGGAGCTTATCAGTGGTCTTGTATGTCTTCCATTTTCTAATATTTGCTCCAGCAGTTGAAATCCTCACACCAAGCTGCTTACCTATTGCAGATTCAGTTACAATTTTGTTTCTAGTGTCCTTTGTCAGCTCTTTGGTCTTGACCATAGTGGAGTTTGGAGTGTGACAGTTTGAGGTTGTGGACAGGTGTCTTTCACACTGATAACAAGTTCAAACCGGTGCCATTATTGCAGGTAACAAGTTGAGGACAGAGGAGCCTCTTAAAGAAGAAGTTACAGGTCTGTGAGAACCAGAAAACTGTTTGTAGGTGACCAAATACTTATTTTCCACCATAATTTGAAAATCAATTCTTCAATAATGGGATTTCTGGATTTTTTTCTCATTCTGTTTCTCATAGTTGAGGTAAACCTACGATGAAAGTCACAGGCCTCCCTCATTTTTTTCACGTGGGAGAAATTGCACAGTTGATGGCTGACTGAATACTTTTTTGCCCTACTGTATATTATGCTGCCAACCCATGTTTAGTCTCTGGGACGTTATCTCCCTTTAGAATCTGGGCATCAGCAGGAGGAGAACATTGATCTCCAAAAACCTTTCTCTTCTATATTAAATCAATTTAATTATAAGTAAAACCCTATGACTAAGGTGTCCTGCCTTTTCAAACCAAAGATGTTCTGCTCACTTTTAAAGTAAGGGTTTTGTAAGGAGTGCAGTCTGCCTAAACCATCCGAAAGGGCTTAATCCTTAAAACCTTATTCGATTCAGACAAAAGGGAAAATAACTGGAACATTAGACCAAGAGGCTTAAGAGAGCTGAGCCGCATCCTGGTGCTGTTCCCTGCTGCAGACGACACAACAAAACCCAAACAGTATCAGTGTTTGTGATGCAACAATGTATTTTTCATATCAAATCATCCCAGTGGAGGCGCCGGCCCATCGAAACAGTCACTGGATTTGTGGGATTAGTCTGCCGCATGGCTCGAGAGCACATGCCTTCGCTCAAATCAGCAGACGCAACATCCTCCTTAAAGTGATGGCAATAGATTCATGATTTATGATTCAAGCAGCCGGCTGTGAGAATATGTTTTACTTAGCACAGGTTAGGGCTGCGACAACGGCGATATGAATCTATTGCAATATGCGGTGTGTGGTCTCAACAATTCAGCCTGTTTTATAGTATCCTATGTGTAGCATAGGGATTATTCATATTTGACATGGATCCGTCCTCTGACCCCTTTAGCTTGGGACTACAGACGGAATGGGAAGATGTACTAATCAGAAGTATTTCATATACTTGGCGCTTTGATCTATAGTATTAGTAATTGTAGTATCCTCTTTTATTTTAAAACTCCAACACAACAGTTCATTCTTTTTCAATTAAGTTTTTTAGTTGTACATCGTGTAAATGCGATACTAAATTCACCATAATGAAGGAGAATCCATAATTTTCCCAAACATCTTCTAAAGGAGAACCAGCCGAATCTAGTTGGGAAAAAGTTTTGGGTTTCTGATTAATATACACTCACCAGCCACTTTATTAGGTACACCTTGCTAGTACCGGGTGATTTAAGTGACTTCAAAGTCACTTAAATCACCTTTCTTCCTCATTTTGATGCTCGCTTTGAACTGCAGCAGATCGCCTTGACCATGTCTACATGCCTAAATGCAGACATGCTGCCATGTGATTGACTGATTAGGAAGTTGCATTAAAGTGGAGTTGGATAGGTGTACCTAATAAAGTGGCCGGTGAGTGTATTTGTCTCTTTGTGTTAACAGGTTTAAATTGGATCTTTTTGTGTTAACAGTTGCAGACCTCTGACTTTGTAATCTATTTCAACTTGTTGAGGGTAAATTACCATGTACTAGAATCTGCTTGCTGTTTACGATAATAAAAACACAATTAGACTGAAGTACAGTAATTACCCTAAACATATCCTGTTTTGGCTGAAAGCAGGTGGAGCACTGCAACTTGTTATCAAATAACGCAGATTGAAAATTGTCTGAGCCTTACTGCAGGTCAAGTTTGTTAAGTGTTCACTAATAAACAATTTCCCTTTAGACCGCCAATGCTGTCGTTACAAGACCTGCGACGTACAAAACCCAAGTACATGGAGATGACATCTGCTGCACAAGGGAAACGCAAATTACACAAGTAATGTACTTTTGATATAGTTTTTTTTTTTTTTTTTTGATAAAAACACATCCAATTGTTTTTTTGTTTTTTTTATTTAGTGTGATCAAAGAGGACTCCTTACAGGGGAGCACTGCAAAACGAATCAAGAGAGAGATTTCTGCAACGCACAAGCCACTCAGGGTGCATCGGACGAACGGTGAGTGAGACGTTTGGTTCACAGGCATAAAGTATGACATACATTTAGAAGAACACACTCCTGCAGGGTTTTCTGCTCTAAATCTTGATTCAACTGACAATAAACAAGGTCTAAAGAATTATGGGAAACAAAAATATATGCAAATCATCTCTTCTCTTGTAAAGACTAATGGTTTTGTGCATTGTCCCTGTTCTTTAAACACTAAACTAGCTATTTTTGTGGCAAACATTGTGAGTAGATTTATTTTCTCTTTCTTTCCTGATTTAGTTCTCACAGCACATGTTTCTTATGTAGAAACATTAGAAGTTGGGCTGTAACAATTAATCATAACTATTCAATTGTTTAGTTCTAGTATGCAATAAATCCATTTTGAACAACAGAGATTTAAGCATGCTGTCAAACTTTATATGACAAAACTGTATGATCCCCTCTGGGACTAATGAAAGCATTCATTCAACTCACAACAAAGCTGTAATTACTGCAGTATGAAATGGAAATTCTAAAATACGTATAGTATTTGTTTAATCTAAGTAAAGATCTAATGTATAAAGACCATTTACTAATTTCCCAACTCATCAATGATTATCAAGACCATCTATTATCAAGATCAGCCCTAATTAGAAGGGAGATATGTGTTAAGACTGAAAAACATGTACTAGAATACCATGCATGCTCAAAGAGGTATGTACAGATTATTGTATCTGTCCCATGCATCATTGGTTCAGGTGATGTCACTAACTTAAATTGTATTTCATTTTTCAAATAATGTATATTTCAGACCATGGCACTCTATTATTATGTACAGTGAGTATTTTTCCACAATAATATATTTAAAGCAGTCTCTCCCCTTGGCCTAACAATGGCCGGTTGGGTAAGGGGTCTCAAGGATTTTAATACATTTTGACCTATCAGGAGGCTGTGGCGGTGCTCGTCTTTATTTAAAACATACATTTTAAATAAATATTGATGTTTTTAGAGATCGGAGTATCTTTTTCATGTATTAATTGTAATGTTATGATGGTGTGAGGTTGCACAGATGAGCCAGTCTTAAGTTAAAGTGTAAACCAGGATTTGACGTCAGCGCCTGAACAATGTGTGGAGCTATTTTCTCCCCTTTGTCTCATGTTTATTCTTGACTCCGTGTTTGCTGTGTGCCCTCAGGTTCAGAGGAGAACAAGCCTCAGAGAGTCGTCAGGAGCATTTCTGAAGGAAACCTCCACCTCCTTGAACCTCAGAAACCCAGATCTATTTTCTATAAAACCACACAAAAGTTCAGGCAGGTGACCAAGCGGATGTGAGGGACAGTTCAAGGCACCTTTCCACTCATCTCCGTCCTTTGTCACAACGCCAATTACAGACTCTCCGCAATGCAACAACATGGATATGAAGAAAACTTTTCAAACAAACCACTGCATTTTACCTGATTGTAAATAAATAAATAAACTTTTTAGAGTTACATTGTGGCTAGAGCTGTTCTAGGTTTCAGTTTGCGCCTTGTATTGTATTTTTACAGATGCTTTCAAGATGTCTTATTGACACTGGTTTTATCTCTACTGGTATTCTTTGGGCAGCTAATAAAGTTGATGGACTCAAATATTACAGAGTCACAAAATCTGCTTTTTAGATTACTTTATTGTGTAGTTATCCGTAGAGAGAAAGCTGGGACTGCAATAAATTCTGCCTGTATGATCCTAAATGTGTTGCTATTTTTTTGTGTGTGTGTGACGTGTGAAAGAGGCTGAAATTACGTCAGAGTTACAGGCTGTTCCCACAGAAGTGACAACGCTCTGGCGCAGAAAGATGAAAATACAATGGTCGGGGAAAAAATTGAAGTGACCCAAGAGCAAAAATATCTTTGTCATAGAGTCCACATGTAGAACACGCTGGATTTGAGAGCAGGAAGTTATTGATGCTCTGCCTACACCGTTTACTTGGCGAGTGCTTTTAACAACAAACATTTGGTACCCTGAGTGAGAGAAGATACCAACAGCTCCAAACTTTGCTGAGGTCTTTATTATCAATGCTTTTCCACTTTTGAGTTGTTTCCAAAATATGTTCGACTTCCATGAGTTATGTTTTAGATGGCTCAGATATGAGGAGTTGTAGCTTTTAATAAACATGTTTACGTCACAAAAGCCTGCTCCCCTGCTGTGCTGAGGGTGGGACATCATTGCCTTGTCTGAGGACTAAACTTGTCACTTTAAATTTAGTTCTGCAGTTTTCAATGCCTCTGCGTTCAGTGTGATCTTTATTTTTAGCTCAGGGCTCAATGCATATATCAGCACTACTGCGCAGGCACAAACACCTCGTCTCATTCACAAGAATCTCTTCATAGTGTGAGCGCTGAGCAGAGCACAGAGGAAGGCCGTGGCTAAAGTTTATTAACTTTCTGCGAGCCAATAGAGCGGCGTTTGCGTTTTTCACACTGACCAATGGGACAGGCCGAGAGGTTGGATGTGGGTGTTGCTTAGCAACTGCAGGTAGAATCTCAGATCACTCCGGACCCATTGTTTTATGAGCGACTACAAGATTGTGTTGTGATTGTTTGTTTGAAAAACAAAACAATTTTTGTAAAACAGTAACAAATGGAACACATTTTAAGATTGTGTAGCTTTGTATTGAAATAACTTCAATACATCAGTCTGAACGCTTAATACTAGCTCTAGCTGCATCATCACTGAACTTGTTTATATTTTTGAAAGAGTAGGCTTAGCTAAGCCTAAAACAGGTGTACACATCTTGACTGCAGACATCTAATTCCGTTCTGTTGTAATTAAGGATACTGCCTTGTTCAAAAATAAGTATGTGATCCTCCTACAATGTTCTTGACTCCCACGAGGTGGCACGTCACTGCTGTGAACTTTGTGTCCTCTGTCTAATGAGATTACCCGATATCTCAGACCAATATGTCAAAGGAATAACTCCTGAAGCGCTGTCCTTTCTCCACTAATCATGCTTTGTTTTAGCTCCTCTGAAGTGTTCCAGCTGCTGTATGTGAATTAGCCTTATTCGAAGGAGCTCTTTTATAAGTGTTTTATGTGTTTGATGGATCATATTCTCATAAACCAATTTCAAAATTTTACAATCTCTAGAAGATCTTTAAGGAAAAACAGACTTTTGTTTCAGATATAGAAAAAGTGGTGCTTGGGTACTCAGCCATTTTAAAGTTTAAGTTTTAGAATACCATTTTCACGCAGTGAGATTGACAGGTATTAGAGAGATTATGGAGGTTCAGATGAAATACTGGCTCTAATTTTAATTGATATCAAGATTGGCATTTATCAACAGTAATTGATAATGTAGTACATCTCCTGTGCTAAATGGCAAGATTTTGACCATTGTAAAATGGAGATTTAATCATAGAGATCTTGTGAAAAAAATTTTTTTCATTTCATACGTCACCAGTAAAAACAGTGATTGTCCTAAAGGTGAAGAGTGTGGCTGCGTTCACTTATTGCTCAGTCCTGGGATGCCAAATGCAAATATTTAAATGGGGTTTATGGAAATTCCTGGCACGCACTCTGGATTTGGCATGTAAAGCAGGGTTCTTGTTTACTCCCAGTCCATCTGACTCTTTGGACGAGAAAAAAGGATTACAACCTATTGTCTCGTCAGCGCACAAAGTTTGTCTCTAAAAAAGGTATGTCATTTGCTAAATAGTTGATTTAGTAGTTGATGTCTTTAACATGCATTTCATTTTAAACTTACTATTTTTTAACATCAGTACTTTGACTGTATTTGTTTGGAGCAACACTGCATAGTCTTGAATTATTGTTCTCTACATTTGAATCCACAGGGAAATTTAGTGGTGCAAACTCAAGTGCTTCAGATCATAAACTTAACTCCAATCAAGGAATGTAGCCGTTTATTTGTGGTCGTTATTTGTGTTTTTCTTACACCAGAAGTTCCCAACCTTTTTGTCCAACTGTTTACAACATAGATTATTCTGACAACTGAATATTTAAAAACATTAATGTACATTTATCAACATTTAAGAACATTGGTTGGTCTGCTGCCTATGAACCAATGACCCCTATGTTTTTGCTAATAATGCATCTTGAACGGTTTGATTCTCTGATCTGTTGTTGAGGATTCAACAACTTTGTAATGTCCTCAGAGACTGTTGTGATTTAGGGCTTTACAAAAATAGATTGAATTACTAACTACTATCAGGACCCTTCACAACTGACTTATATGTTTGTATTATTTTTCACATTAATGCTAAATGTTTTTGAAACGTGACTAAAATTGCCCCGATCACTTATATATATTATAGTTCTAAACCAGCCCTAAGCTAGATGGATTATAAAAACGTAAATAAGATTGATTGGTCATGCCAACACACTCAAATTTGCTCGAATCCATTCATTTGACTAGAGTCCTGGTTTTGACGCATCCACTTTGAGGACGAAATGTTCACTTTCTGCTTGTGCCACACCCACTCACAGCTGCCATTGTTACAGTAATTACCTTAAATGGTCATAATATTGAATGTAGGACTTTATATTATAGCATCCGTAAAAGGGTTTTGGAAAACTTCAGTAGTTTGTGGAGCTGGATGTGGATCAGAAAGCAACATATCTGTGATTTAATTCCTTTATGAATTGCATTTTGAAATGTGTTTATAGACAACATATGCAATGGTGCAGTGTCTTAACCTTGTGTGATTTTCATTTGTGAATTATGGTGGAAAGAAAGAGCTGATGGTGTTTCTCTCGGTTTATGCCAGGGCAGATGGGTGGGGAAAGTGTTCAAACCAGGACGAGAACTAAACCAACATAATAATACATCTTCATTTGTACAGCACTTTTCAGTCAGTTTAAAACAAAACAAGTCAATACAAATAGTCATGATAATTACATAAAATATATAATGACAAAGAGAAAAACAGAACAGAGAGAACGTAGAACAAGAAGATACAACATGTGTAGTTTACAACAGACAGTTATGGACACACAACAATCCATACAACTACAGACAGGGAAATATTGTACAAGAAGAATTTCATTGACCAATCAAAACGTAGATCTATCACTTTTGGACCAAAGTTGTTTTTACCCAATGTTGTTACAGTATTTTTCGGGTATTAGTCACACCATCCGAAAATGCATTATAAAGAAGGGGAAAAAAACGTATACAAGTCGCATTATTTGGGGAAATTTATTTAACAAACTCCAACACTGAGAAAAGACATTTCAACTTCAAAGGCAAGTTAGAATAAAAATAGAATAGAGAACAACAGGCTGAGTAAGTGTACGTTATATGATCCATAAACAATGTACCGAGAACGTGCCTGGTTTGTTAACGCAACATTACGATAAAAGTCATTCAAACAACTTTACAAAGAATCGGTGTCGCTCCTAATCACTAAATCCAATCCTTTGTGTCACTTCTGAATAACTCCCCCAACTCCAAAGGTAAATAGAATATTAAACATTTAAATTATAACATTTTATAATTTCACACATAAGTTGCACCAACGGCAAACAATGACAAAAACTGTGATTTATAATCCGAAAAATACAGAAAAATCTAATGTGGGGCTCTAAGTAATATCTACAGTACTTTGATCTGACTCCCTCTGATAAATGGGTTAATGGTTTAGAATTTGACATAATATTTTAAATGAAAGCCACTGGAAGACATCCAACTCTCCATCCAAATCTCCATGGCCCATCCCCAGTTGTCAAAGGCTGTACAGTATATAGATAGATAGATAGATACTTTATTGATCCCCGTCAAAGAAATTCAGGTCTCAAGTAGCAGCAAACATGAAAAAATAAAATTGATCATTCAAAAAAGCTAACTAACAATAGTAATAATCAGCAACAGTCCTTCAGGTCACAGCAGCAGAGGTGGAGTAGCCTCTGGGTGGAGCAGGACGGGTCACAGCAGCGGAGGTGGAGTAGCCTCTGGGTGGAGCAGGACGGGTCACAGCGGCGGAGGTGGAGTAGCCTCTGGGTGGAGCAGGACGGGTCACAGCAGCAGAGGTGGAGTAGCCTCTGGGTGGAGCAGGACGGGTCACAGCGGCGGAGGTGGAGTAGCCTCTGGGTGGAGCAGGACGGGTCACAGCAGCGGAGGTGGAGTAGCCTCTGGGTGGAGCAGGACGGGTCACAGCAGCGGAGGTGGAGTAGCCTCTGGGTGGAGCAGGACGGGTCACAGCGGCGGAGGTGGAGTAGCCTCTGGGTGGAGCAGGACGGGTCACAGCGGCGGAGGTGGAGTAGCCTCTGGGTGGAGCAGGACGGGTCACAGCAGCGGAGGTGGAGTAGCCTCTGGGTGGAGCAGGACGGGTCACAGC